TACATATGTATTGTTAGTTGACTTAATCGTGTTTAGGGGTTGTTGATAGGCCAGTGGTTGAAGTGTTGTGTGAAGCGGTGTGACGAAAATGTCTACTTTCCTCAACTTGATGTTGCTGGACCACTGCTAAAACACTTAAGCAAATTCATTTATAAATACTTATCCTATTTTCCAACAGTAACGTGCCAGTTCCAGTCCCCACGGTGCATACTTACGTGTTATCTCATTCGAAGATACATAAGTTACAAAACATAATGACGAAATCCAAAGGAGCCTACAGCAATTCGTAACTGACAGACCTGGGGCTTAGGCAGTCTAGACTTGCCTAATTGTTCTAGATTTGAGTTGGGAAATTTCATCTATGGTCTTGGGGGCAGATTATAAACAGGATCATATTTGTAAAACAAAACATTAGAGTACGGTACGGTAAAGCGTTTAATATTGTTGCAGTAATAGTGCAGCGCGGTACGACAAAAATGGACTTCGAACTCGTGTCTTTGGCAAACTACAAACACGATTTAAACTCGATAGATAGATAGACAGACAGACAGATAGGTAGATAGGGAATATACAATAAAAACACAACATTTACTCATATACATGTATCTCTTTATAATTACTAACGAACTATTTACGCATTATATTATAACTCTCAACTTAGTCCATTTGTCAGTAAGGAGTGAGCGAGTTTAGTTTTCCGACGCTTTTAGCAATATTCCAGCAATATCACGGCGGGGGACACCAGAAATGGGCTTCACACATTGTACCCATTTGGGGAATCGAACCCGGGTCTTCGGCGTGACAAGCGACCGCTTTAACCACTAGGCTACCCGGCCGCTCCTGTCAGTAAAGAACGCTCTGACCTTTACGAACAGAACTTGTTAATGACATACGCTTGTCGCTGTACAGATAACAAATGTTGAAGGATGACTGACAAAAACGATTACATACTATCATTCTGCCCTATCAGGCAATGCACTGCGACACGGCTCGACCCACAATTTGAGAACGTCGCACAAAACTGACGTAACTCATGTCATCCATCTTGTTAATGGCGCAAAGGAACTTCGTGACTGTCGGTTTTTCTACCTTACATGTTTTAGTCATTGATATATATAGATTGACAGTTAACATACATGTACTCGAAGACATACCTGGTTTACAAAAATATACTTCATACTCACTCGTGTAAATATAGCCACTTACTTCAGGCAACTGTTCTAAACTATATTTTGCAAAATATTCCATACTGTTTAAAGGTACTGTTGACACATGAATTGATGTATTGTAAAACAAATTCGTAATGTTAAATGATAAAATCAGTAAAAATTGGTGAAATCTTAACAAAACTTTACACCAAAATTAACGCGGCTGTTCACATGCGCGATATTTGCACATGCTTTTCAGCATTTTGATGCATGATCCTCGTACAATTCATCTGTATAATGTTTGCAGTTGGTTCCCCAAAGTTAGTGGAGAAATCAATCTTCGATGTAACCATATATATAATGTATAGTGAGTGTTTTAAGTGAGTCTAAACTTTTGAAAGGAATTATGTACCGACTCTGAAACGCAATTGGTATGGTTGACCAAACAGACTTACAGATTCAGTAATATACAGGAACGGTTTTTTATGCATAGACAACTTCTTTATTGCAATGGATGTAACGTTTCGATGTAGATCAAGCAAGATTCAGTAATAGTCAAACTGAACAATATGAACGGGCGAAGAGAAAGTAACATATATATTGATTTACTACTTTACATGTCTAATATGGAATGATAATTTCCACCAATTTCAGTTGATAATACAAAATCCAAATTTGAAACGCTTTTCACGTGAGAACCCAAAGGGTCATCTTCAAGGTCATTTCAACATCGGTAATCTTTCATTTGTGAAAATATGGTCACAATCAAATCGACATAGCAAAATACATGTTTTCAACTGCGGTGTTAACTAATGATATATTTTCTTCAATAAAACAATAACTTAAAGACCATTATCGCTGTACCGATTAAACTATACTTTATGAGTAGAGTATTACATACAATCGATGGGCTTCTGATCAATATGAATGCTTAGCAGTCAACGTCTCATGATTAGTAGCATGGTTGGCCAAACAGTTATTGTCGATTTATGTTCCACAGAGATATACAGGTCAGATAACATTGTTCCTTTTCGGGTATTGTATTTCGGGTACATATGCATTTCATCGAATTACCTACATTGTACATGCAGGAAAATTATACTTGTTTTTGTGATACATTCCGCTGTAAAATATCGCGCTGGACTAATATTTTCCATGAGATGGCTTGATTGCTGGGATTACATTTCAGTCCAGTTTAGTGTGGGAATATATAGCCAGATGTTAAGTCACTCGTTATGCATTTGGATTGTGTAGGTTGAGTCTGGAGCATGTACGTCAATGGTGGACAACTAAACTGAATATCTCTAAACATATTTTCTTTCATGTTTTAGCAATAGAACGGCAATATCAGGTCGAGTATGTATATGTAAAATGTTTGTGTTCCCCTATCTTAGACACAAAGATGCATAAAGGTGATTTATATTCCTAAACAAGCAGGTATGAATGCTTGAACTAAAATACGAACACACGCACGCACGAGCGCACGCACACACACATATGTGATATGACATTCATGATTACAATTATATTTGCCTTCACTTACAGGCACACAAATACACACACACACACACACACACACACACACACACACACACACACACATACACACATACATACATACATACATACATACATACATACATACATACATACATACATACATACATACATACATACATACATACATACATGACACACACAACTAACCAAATAAATAACGCTACTAGTTGGTTAGTTGGTTAGGCGGCTGACTTTGTGTGCTGGCAATTAGGTGTGGGTTCGACTCTGAGGGTGTGGGTTCGACTCTGAGGGTGTGGGTTCGAATGCCGGATGGGACTAGAATCTGTACTTTACTGAGAAATTTTCATCCTAAGTATAACATTTGTTACCTTTGACAACTTTCTAATGTGGCATTGTGTGTTCATAACAAACAAGCAGTCACATGTTTAATGCAAGTTGTGCACCTTGTTACCGGTAGAGCAGAACTTGCTTACTCTTTTCGCGAACACCTGGTGTCAGGGACCCATTCATAAAATATTTATCCCAATTTGCCTTTTACTTTTCCTGATGGAGTTTGTTTTGGCAGGCAATCTCCCTTGATCGTTTGACATTGTCGACACAAAGTATTTGGTTATCGACATTACCGACAACAGGCCACGGAATATCTATTTTCGAATCTAGGAAATTCGCATTGATAATTTTTAGATGCAGCGCTATGCATGAGCATAGTGTTGCCTCGCCCCAGTCGGCGACATGTACATGTACAAGGCTTCACAGCTTTCAAATGTGCGTTACACCTATTGCACATGAGGATGTCTCTACTCAGCCATTGAAATTGTGACCTCGGAGGGTAATCTATACCAGAATAGAAACGACAGTCATATAAAATGTAAAACGCACTGTATGAATAGGTTTAGTGACCGAGACGATGATATTCGTAAAGTAAACTATTTACGTCCTTTCATTTGTACAGGGTTCACTCGTTTGAGACCATCAAAGCTAATGCTTATGTAGAACACAATCATGTTACTTGGTTTGAGCAAACAGAGATATTAAATATCGGATAATATTAAAACGGTGCCATATTGATACTAATATCAATTACCGGAACATATGTAGAGAGTGCGTGTATTAGTAAATCATAATGAACGCAGGATGAGACTCTCTCAACCGTAAATAATCACAATGGGTCTCAGCAGACCATGTTCAGAAGAAGCAATTAGCCTCGCTCTCTGTGTTCAATGGAGTTGTAGAAATACTCACGCTCATACACAAAACAGTTGTGGCGTTCAAATACCCAGTGACCTACTCCGGTATATTGTGAGAGTGAAAAATCCAGGTCATATCAGCATAACACAATGAAGATGAAGATAAGGTCAGTATGTAAACTGACAGAAACATTCACTATCACGCTCAGGGCCGCGTGCATCCCACAACAATGTGAATGACGGTTTTCACACTGAGAATATGTGCTTTAAGCTGCAACTAGTCTGTCATACAGACCCCTGAAGCAAATATATCCAAGAACGCCCACACAAGTCTAGAAAATGTGGCAAGTCTAGATTTCCACAGCTTCAAGTCTCAGGGCTCCTTTTCATTATATTTTATTTTTTTCACTATGAGCTTTTTTTTCTGTAAATATGTTCATTTTCAGAGACTAGCTGTTAGTCTAAGCTGCAACGGTTTCAATATAATCGATTTGTCATCTGCTGGCTAACATCACAGTGCTCACAGTGCATTTTGTTTAGATTGAAACACTTCTAGGTAAACGTTTATCACTGCTGGAACGAAACGCCACTTGGTATAAAGAGGGTGCAGACAATGAAATGTGTTGAGTGTTCAATTAAGTCGTGCATGGTCGGCATCGTATTTACTTTTGAATTCGGATGACTGTTGATTGGGACGTAAAGTAGTTTGAAAGGATTGGATTTATCAAAGGTATTTTATTCTCAAACTGATAAAGACAAATTCAAAATTGGTAAAACGTGACTAACATAAATATTTCTCAAATTCACTTACAATCATGGTTAAATGTACCAGAATACTGTGTACCTATAAGTTAAATAGGGTGTGGATTGAAACTTACATTTAATATTTTCATTTTCAAGCATCAACTAAAGGCTGTTAAAGTTTGAAATTTGTTCTTTTTGAAAATTCATTTTTATAATGATAAATATTATTACAATAAAAATCCAAGTTAATTAACCATTTGCACTATTTCAATAATATTCACCTACATTTATATTAATTCAGACATATCCGAAATTTATCAGCTGGCATCAGTCTAAAATGAGTTCCAGCACTACGTACTTATTCAATACATAATCAAATGATGAAAAAACAGATCCTTACCTGCATCGTCCGCCGTTTTCACACATATTCGTGCCTTTGTCGGGGTCGCAATATGGTCCATATTGGCACTCATTTCCAAAGAATCCTTCAAAACAATCACACCTATATTCCGAGTAGTTGAAGTTAGCCACACAGTTCCCGAGGTACGAACACTCATGCACCGAGCAGGCATCCCTGCCAACCTTCTCCTCTACCCCAACAACCTCATAGGTGATGTTAAATCCATAAACGTCCTGGAGGTAGTCCTCGACCCTCAGGTGGATGTTCCCGTTGTCACGGACGCTGAAGGTAATGACCACGAAGGGCTTGTATGCCACCAAGGAGGTGAATTCGTCCTCGAAGTTGATTTCCCCAAGGTTGTTCTTGCCGGTATAGGACACTTCGCTGTCGTATTGGTCATACTCTGACAGATAGAAACCGCTTCTTAGAAAATACTGGGTGAAGTACAGGATGATCTTTCTCTCCGGGGGTGCTTGGATGACCCAATGACACGAAATAGGAGTAGGGAACCTGTCGGGGAATTTAGGGGACTTTATGAACCCCCTCTCTTCTGTCAGGAAACCTCCGCAGTCCGTGTACAAAAAATTAGCCACCACAAGGTGAGAGAGAACAATAAAGCAGATGCATACTCCGATTGCCTGTCCGAATATCTTCATTTGGCTTCAAGGAAACGCTTCATGTCTCCACGAAGCTACAACTGAGTACTCTCTCACTTCACAAGCCTTCTATAGTGAGCAACAGCACGGGCAGCAGGTCCTCTCGTTGGCAAGTCTATAAGAAAGAACATATAAGAATACACTCATCCAACAGCCTCAGCCCACTATCCTTCTAATGATCAACCATAACGTGCTACTGGTTAAACTATTGCGTGGCCAAAATAGTATTAACACTTTCTCCGCGGGGAAGATTCTGATCAATAGACGCGAAGCACTGGTGACACCGTGCCCTAGACTGCCAGAGCGCCATTTGATACGGCAGGCCGATCAAGGTATAATGCTTCCGCTACACCATGGTATAATGTGTCAATGGGCTCTCCCTTCTGGTGACCTCAATAATTAACCTACGACACGGAATAAATAAGGTTAACACGGCTGGGCTCATAGTGTTGTCGGTAAGCTGATGATGATATAGCTATTCAGTTACCTAAAGGATAACATATATGTGCAAATCTTGTAAAAGTTGTGTCCTTATCATTGAAGGCGATACCACAGGGCATTATCATTATAAACAAGCGGCACGTACGGTAATATTTCGCCTGATAAGCCACGTATCCATTTTCATGCATATCCTTACTCGATCATATTCTGGTTGGATGATTTTATTGTCTCGGCGTTACGTTTATCCAGTACGGCCAAGAACAAGTCTTCAAACTTTAAAACATACATTTCGTACACGATATCAACTGGTTCGGGTCTGATGTTTGCCACGCGGATTTTTACACACGCGAGTCGTGTCAAAGCACGGATGTTTCAGCAAACTTTTCATGCGACTACTGTACACCGCAAGATCGATGTCTATACTGGAAACGCGTATGTGGTATTCGGTTAAATATTCATATGTACTGAAGGAAACAAAATATGGAATCTACTGAGCTAAAGGAAACACAGCAACATATTGCACTCAGTGGCATTCTGGGCGGTACATGTCCTCTGATCCACAGGGGCGGTGGGGTAGCCTAGTGGTTAAAGCATTCGCTCGTCACGCCGAAGACGTGGTTCGATACCCCACATAGGTACAATGTGGGAAGATCATTTCTGGTGTTTACCGCCATGATATTGCTGGAATATTGCTAAAAGCGGCGTGAAACTTAGACACTATTACATGTGACCTATATGTAGGGTATGGTGGGGGTCAAGAGGTTTGAGTGTTCGCTTCTCCTGACAAAGGACCATGTTTGGTTCCCACTATGGTACGTTGTTTGAAGCCCGTTTCTGGTAGACAGGAGCAGTATCTGCCGTGATATCGCGAGACAGACAGACATACATACACATGCACATGGTATGATATATGTGATTATATTTCGTTATATTACAATATGACATGACAAAGTGGTATGGTCTGACATATATGTAGATGAAAAATGTGATTTGATTCACACGTATGGGTGGTGTTGTATCAGAGGTAGTGTTTCATCCTTGCTATTGCAACTCTAGGGACAAGCGTAACACCTGACATTAACAAAAATGTCACATATAAATTCTAGTACCCCCTCACCCACCCCCTCCCCGAAAAAATAAGAATGTATTTTGGGTTTGTCATTGGGGTAGCTCAGTGCTTGAATTGTTCGCTCAACATGCCGAAACCCGGTATCGACCCTGTCTGTGAGTACCGTTTTTGAACCATCAAAATTGAATTAGCATGCGATAGTATCATTACTTTAAAACTATTGTATAGCATTAATTGGTTACATATGTCTTTGAAAACGAATATTCACTGGATATGGCTTCAGGGAGGTTAACATAACTTGGTTGTGAATGCGTTTGCTTGGTATGTGGAAGATACGGGGTTCTATTCCCCACATAGATACAAGCATTCGGTCCTCTCGGCTAATTCCGTTTCAAAGAGAATTCATACAAATAGCGTGGTGATAGTGATACCGAAAACCTCACACCGCCTGCTGACAACCCATTTGTATCATTTGTTCGTAAATGTGTCAGCCGAGTTTGCCTAACAAATACTGTTGTGTTCTTTAATATCGAGCTGCTGGGCGCGTTGTGCAATGTGAGACTAGCGTTGACTTGTGAAACTCGCGAATCCGGGAATAGAATCGGTTTATATATATTTCCCATAACACAGGCCGATGTAACAGTTTCAAATCAATCCGTTAAAAACACTGCAGAGAGCATACAGCCTTGCCTCAGACCACTCTAAGGGGCATTTACTCAAAACACCTCACTCAAAACCCAGACCACAGTCAGTTGGGCTATAATCATTCCAGTACATTTCTACAGCATTATAATTCTCCTTTTCAGTTCTCTCATACAGTTCTAAAGATTTTAGACGTGTACATGACCCACTTCTTACCTGAAAAAGAGGTATCGAGTGATTGTCAACTCACATTTGAAAACAGGTAGGTGTGAATGAAATCATCAACATATTACTTTTGAATAAACACGTGATATCAATCGCTGTTACACATATATAATTTAACAATATAAATTGTCAGATCTCACAAATCAGGGGATAGTATCACTGGACACCTACATAACGAAATACGTGTGCATGAAATTAGTAGCTTTGAAATATCAAGTACCTTAGCTTGTACCCCAATGGTTTTGATCTTTCTGTTAATAACATGATACTGTTAGATATATGCACGTTTAAATACCTTCAAAGATAATGTTCTGAAGGTAACTTGTTCAACAGAAAAAAAGCTTCAATACCCTATATTGCATAATTTTTTGAAATTAGAAAAAGAAGAAAAATGAAGGCGAATATGTACATTATAAATAACTAATTCTTTATGTGTACAAATTATACACAATGAAAATGAAACTTAGTGGAAAATAAATTAACCTGTCATGTGTTTGATCAGATTTTTGTCACAAATAACATGCTTGGTAATTACAGATTACAATAATTATTTATGGTTCCTTATGTAAAGCAGCTGTGATTTGACTGTGATTTGTTCTCACGAAACTGTCATGTGCTGTAATTATGTCATGTTTGAATAAAAATGTCATTTACAACAGTATCATCAGTCCAGATGCCATTTGACTATTAGAAGTTATGGCGAAAGGCAAACAAGTGGAACGCAAATAGTAATGGCCTCGTTATCTATAATCAGACAAGCAAATTAACACAAACTACCTTAATTACGATTCCCAGTACTTGTTATGCAGCTTCTACAAATGACATGAGTTTTGTTTATAAGGAGTGTTATCAAAAGGGTAGCGGGTAGCCTAGTGGTTAAATCGTTCGCTCGCCACGCCGAAGACCCGGGTTCGATTCCTGACGTGGGTACAAGGTGTGAAGCCCATTTCTGGTGTCTCCCGCCGTGATATTGCTGGAATTTTGCTTAAAGCGGTGTAAAACGCAACTCACTCACTCAAAGGGTAGCAAATTGATTTATTTGGGAAGGTCGAAATATTGCAGTTGTCAGACGTTGGTGAATCCACGAATTATGGAACGTTGTTGACACAATAAAACCATAACAGGGCAAACCGAAATTCGAACCAAGAACCTCAGGTTTCTGACTCGCCTTTACACAGTATCCGTGCCCGTAGCGCAACAGAAGCCATAGAGCTAAAATTTTGAAACAGTACCTTCCACTGCTTAAAAGTGAAATGTTATGTCACTGTCTACAAATTGGTGAAATGTTACTGCAGCAATATGTTCCTGCAGCAAGTATAACGCTAGGCAAAAGAAGTTGGTAAAACTATTGGCAAATACAATATTACAATGTCAAAATATTTGAAAAGAATGTAATACTCAAGCGTAAAAGATAGGGTAACTATGTTGAAGATAGAAAATATTATACTTCTATGGAAATAAGTAAGTAGAAGCAAAATAGGGTGAAAAACAAGTGTGTGGAATGTTACTTCACTATCAACTGTTATGCCACGTGAAAGAATCCCCCGTTTCTGTTGCAACATCAGCGATGATATAACTTTCTACACACGAACCTCCAATGGAAGCTTTCAACAATACCTTAATCCTGTTACCAATTAGACCAGTCCTTTCCCACAGAGTACACGACGTACAGATAACATAAAAATCCGGTCATACCTATTTGGAACAATGTTCCAAAGGGGTTGACTCTGAGAAGCTTGAGACTGACGGTAGGAAGATTATGATCGTTATCATCCAGTGATATACTCGCAGCCAGTCGTGATCGGTTTGTTAGTTCAGCCGGATACGTGACGTGGAAGTTACAAGATGAAGGATTACCTGTTGTTCGTGCTTTCACATTTGCATTCAATCTAAATCTAAATCTAATTCAACTGTCTGTTTCAAAACGAGGGCTCGTGACGTGTTTGCAATGACAAATATGTTGTAGCAGAACCATTTTAATGAGGTATTCGTTATTTGTCCAAATGCATTTGGATTTGAAATCGAAAGTACGCTGACATATCCCAAACCACGATTTTACAAGGAATTATTATTTTTCATTATTGTTATTATAGGATATTTAAAAAGTGCACATATCCACGCAGCTAGTACATGCTCAAGGCGCTGTGTTTTTCCCTCGAACATTGGATGTCAAGCTCAACGGCACATAGTATTATCAATCTCAACTCCCTGGGGATCATACATCTCTTGCAGCAACTAGGCGCACCGAGTTATTGCGGCGTTCCCATCCTTGCGAGGTTTAAATTAAACATGTCTTTAAAAAAAATAAATCCAGTTCCTTAAGTTTAGACTAATGGTTAAAGCGTTTGCTTGTCTCGCCGAAGACCCGGGTTCGATTCCCCACATGCGTATAATGTGTGAAGCCCTTTTCTGGTGATCTCCGCTGTGATATTGCTGGAATATTGCTAAAAGCGGCGTACAAATTTATCTACACCTTAATTTTAACAAAACTAAGTAATATGTTATATTAAACAGAAACTGAACCTGCATGTAGCAAACAGTTGAGCATCATTTGCATGGTACTTGCGAAAAGTATAAAACCCATTGCTTTCATAATGGGACACAGTCCCTTATTAAGTGCATATCTCACAAATACTTTCAATATACATGTATACTCAACAAAAGCTGCAACAATGTGTTGGAACATAAGTTGAAGAGGTACCTGGTGTTATGCATAAGTATAGTGATGCCATTTAACG